CGATCCACTCCTCAGGTAGCTGCCAGCCTGATAGGGCCCTCTCTCACTTAAAGTTTGTGTGGCTCCCCATCATAATTAAAATGAAATGCAAACTTCTTTTTGTGATTTCAAACCTTCAGGATGAGTTCTCAGCTTACCTCTCAAGCTCACGATTCCCCTGCTATCTGCACCCGATTGCACAGCTCAGCACACGCCGTCCCATCTTTTAATTCCGGTCTTTGCACACACTGCTCCTCCATCTGAACTACTCCGCACCATCTCCTTTGCCTTGAATCACCTCTCCAAGTGCGATGGCTTTTTTGCGGCTGTCGTGAGCCCACCGTCACGGAGCTTATCACACTCTACCGTAATTTTCTGGTAACTTTCCTGCCTTCCACCCTGGTCTTTGGGGTCCCAGAGGTCAGGAACCTGTCTTTTGCATCTGTATTGTCAAGGTCTTGTACAAGGTTCTCACTAAATGTTGGTGGAACAGAGAGAAAGCTAAGGAGATGGAATGAGAACAAAAAGAAACCATAAACAAGAGTTGTCAGACATGAAAGGCAAGGTTGCAGGGCTTCAGGTAGGGAGAGGAAAAGAGCCCATACGTACACATCCTGAATGTTACTCATGAGCCACAGTACACCAAGCCCCCGGGGACTTTGTGCCAGAGGAGAGCAGCAATGTGCCCAGTGCCCCAGGGAGAAAGATTCAGCCTCCATCACCACCATCCTCAGCACCGGCCCCTCCAAAACTTCCCAAATGAAAGCATAATAACACTAGTAAGAGTAATGATTGTTTTCTCAATCTCATGAAGCATAAATAAAATCATCTTTAGAAACCTTGCTTTTTTTTAAACCTGTAACTTACAAGCTAAGTGAAAACAGCTCATATTCAAGAATGTTCACATCAGTGTTTTTCATAGTAGCCTAAACCTAGAAACAACCCAAGTGCCCATCCACAGAGAATGGGTAGAGTCTATTCACACAGTAGAAATTACATTACAATGAAAAGCCCACTACTGGTCAGATCCACGCAGCCACACTAATGGCGCTCACAGGCAGTGGCGCCCAGAAGAAGCCAAACACAAGTGAATGCGTTCTGAGTGGTTTCACTTATCTGAAGTTCAAAAGCAGGAAGAACTAATCGATGGTGATAGAGGTCAGAAAGTGGGTGATTATCTTTGGAGGTTATTAACTGCGACAGCACATGAGAGAAACTTCTGGTGGCCTGAGAATAGGTTGAACTGGGTGGTGGCTACAAGGCTATAAAACAGATGGGAAAAGCTGTCAGGCTGTTGTCTTAGATGGTGAGCACCTCACCATATCTAACATCAAAACCATGGGGAATCCTTAACACTTTTAAAACAGTGTATTGGCTCTACAAATGCAGCTTCAAGGCCAAAGGCTTAGCTGCCACACTCCTTGATCCCAGAATGTGTTTGTTTGGGGCTATGTGGTCTTTGGGGACCACAAAGGTCAAAGGTCAAAGGTCAGGTGAGGTGGAGAGCATCCTTCAAGAGTGAGATGTGACATCATCTCTGGGTAGGGGGACCATGCATGTGTCTTCCAGGACTCTTGAAGAGGGCTCCATGAGTAGTTTCTTCAGGACAACAGACATAAACCAGGATGTCCCAGGCAAGGGGGTGTGTCCCAGGTTTCTTGATATGAAACCTGTCAGACAACTTGGAAAATACAAATACTGGAACAAGTGTGACTTGGGCCATTTGGGACAAGGACAGGTGCAAGAGAAGGGAATGGGCATGGAAAGAAGACTGTAATCAGCCAAGGATGTCGAGGTGTTACCCATAATTGCTCTTCAGGGAACCAGGCCTCCAGCCCACACCCCAGCTGCTGCCCTCCTGCTCCCCTGAATTTACTGTCCTTCTCTGGAACTCCTAAGCCTGACCCCACTCTCTGACCCTCCTAGCCCACAATTCCCCTGACCCCACACCCTTTCCCAGAACTCAGTCGTCTGAGCCCCCAGCCTGCGGTTCTCTCCTAGGCCTCAGCCTTTCCTGCCTTCGGCTGAAACAGCAGCATCTTCTAAGCCCTGGGGGCTTCCCCGGCCCCAGCCCCGGCCTAGAACCCGCCTGCCGCCTGCCTCCTGCCTGCCCCTGCCCCTGCTGCTTCCTCTATAAAGGGACCCAGAGGCCACGCACAGCAGGTGAGACTCTGCCCCATCTCCTTGGGCTGGCCCTCCGTGGACTCCCCCTGGCCCTCCTGCACCTCCTGTCTGGGCCTGAGCTACAGTGGGTTTGGTTTTGGTTTGTTCCCTCTTTCTGACTCCCTATCTGTCAGTCTCTCTCTGTCTCTGTCACACATTCTCTGTTTCTGCCACAATCCCTCCCTGTTCCCTTCCCCTCTGTTTGTCTTTCTGTCTCCCCCGCTCACCTCAGGGTTTCCCTGACTGCATCTTGTCCCCTTCTCTGTCTGTCATCCTGTGTCTCGTGGTGGCTGTCTCCTGGGGAGGAGGCCTGTCTTCCGCAGTGCACCCGCCCCACCCGCTCACGGTCTCTCTCCCTGCAGGCTCTCCCCATGACACCACCTGGACATCTCTACCTCCTGAGGGTGTGTGGCGCCCCCCTCCTCCTCCTGGGGCTGCTGCTGGCCCTGCCACCTGATGCCCAGGTGAGGCAGCAGGAGAAGGGGGTCGCAGGGGTGGCCCAGCTGAACCTTGGGCCCTAGAGCCTCCCAACTCTGTTCTCCCTTAGGGGCTCCCTGATGTTGGCCTCTCAGCTGCACGGACTGCCCATGGGCACCCCCAGAAGCACTTCCCACAAGGCACCCTCAAACCTGCTGCTCACCTTGTTGGTAAACATCCTCCTGCCCTCCCAGCCATGCAGCCCTAGCCTTCCTCCTACCCCCTTCAGGGGCCAAAGCAACTCTCTACTCCACCTCTCCCCAACTTTCCTCACTCCCCAAAACAGAGGCTCCTGCTCCCTTCTGCCCTCCCAACCATCCCCAGGAACTTGGTCCAGCACCTGCTTCCCAGGTATTGAGACCTCTGACCTCCTGACCCCCCCCCCATGGTTCTTCCTAGGAGACCCCAGCACCCAGGATTCGCTGCGCTGGAGGGCGAACACGGACCGTGCCTTCCTCCGCCACGGTTTCTCTTTGAACAACAATTCGCTCCTGGTCCCCTCCAGTGGCCTCTATTTTGTCTATTCTCAGGTGGTCTTCTCTGGGGAAGGCTGCTTCCCCAAGGCCACCCCCACCCCTCTCTACCTGGCCCACGAGGTCCAGCTCTTCTCCTCCCAGTACCCCTTCCACGTGTCTCTCCTCAGTGCTCAGAAGTCCGTGTGCCCAGGGCCACAGGGACCCTGGGTACGCTCGGTGTACCAGGGAGCTGTGTTCCTGCTCACCCAGGGAGACCAGCTCTCGACGCACACAGATGGCATCTCCCACCTGCTCCTCAGTCCCAGTACTGTCTTCTTTGGAGCTTTTGCTCTGTAGAAAAATCCAGAAAGAAAGAATTGGTTTCAAGGCCTTCTCCCCATCTTACCTCCACCCTGACCATTTCAAGGGTCACAACTCCTCACCCTTTGACCATTCCAATAGTCTCAAGTCTTCCCCCCTCATGTCACCTGGAGCTCCTGAAGAAGGAATTCTCGGCACCGCAGGGTTCCCACCTCCCTGAGCCACCAGGATGCTCGGCTGAGAATTTCGAGCTGCCTAGAGATTCCCACCCGGAGCTCTCTACTCCATGCCGCCCGTATAGGGGCCCAGCCCTGGGCGTGGAGGGGAGCAGACATGTCCGGAGCTCGGGTAGATGTCTGGAGGCGGGGAGGGGGATTATTTATGAAGAGAAAAAATTAAGTTATTTATTTATGAAATGAAGCGAAGGGAATAATAGGGGGGCCATCAGAAGAGACAGGGAGAAATATGCCAGAGATGACACTGAGAGGGCGTCACACAAGGACCACCTGGAGAAAAGACCAGCGGAGGCGAGGGGTCGAGGGGCTCTAGAAGGAAGCGATGGCTTTAAAGAGCCAGCCACTGCTTGACTAGACACCTCTCGAAGAGATATTTGCACCCTCCATGAAGCCAAATAAACCTTTTTTCTCTTAAATGCTGTCTGCCTCTGTCTGTCTGTCTGTCTGGGGGGAAGAATCTCTCAGTCTGTCTAAGGAATGGAGGGAGGGCAGAGGGCTCAGAGCAGGTAGGAGCTGGGGGCATACAAAGAGATACAGCAGCTAAGGAGCCCGGGAAATTCAGGGACTGGTGGGGGGAGGGGAGGCAGCCAGGCCCTGCAGGAACCCGAAGGTTAAGGTGAGAAGACAAAGGAAAAGTGTGGGTCCAAGGTCTGGAGGGCTGGAGGTCAGGGGAGCCCTGGCAGATATGGCCCCAGATAGAGGCTGTGAGGAAGGGGGGCCATAGGAAGCCTCCTGAGCGAAGTGGCCACACCGAAGGGTCTCCAGGACAATGGGATGGAGCAGGGGATCCCCTGGAAGGCACAGAGTGCAAGGGCCCTGAGGGGTGAGAAAGCCTCCAAGGTTAGGGGGCTGGGAAATCCAGGGGGCTTTGGAGGGAACATGGCCACACCCAGGGGCGCTGAGGGCTAAGGCTGTCTCCAGGAATCTGAGGAAGCAGGAGTTCTCTGGGACACGGCCACACACGGGGGTTCTGAGGGGTGAAGGCTTCATACAAAAACCAGAGCCTGCCCTGCCGGGCATGGCTCAGCGGTTGAGCATGGACCTAGGATCCAGGCGATCGGGGTTCGATTTCTGGTCGGGGCACATGCCCCGGTTGTGGGCTCGATCAATGACTCTCTCATCATTGATGTTTCTATCTCTGTCTCTCCCTCTCCTTTCCTCTCTCTGAAATCAATAAAGATATATTTTAAAAAAACACACACACACACACAAAAACCAGAGCCTCGGGTTCCTTTGGAGCCAAGACTGAAACCAGCGCTGTGAGTCCCCTGTCAGAACGAAAGGAGAAGGCCTGCCCTGGTGTGGTTCGTGAATTCCCAGGGTCGCCTTCACTCCCTCTGGGGCTGTCCCAGGCTTGTCCCTGCTCTCCACGCAAGCTCCCAGAGGCCGCATCCATGCCCTCAGCCTCAGGCTCCCCTTCTCCCAGTTACATCTCTCCCAAGGACCCAGGCACACGTCTCGGGACCCAGCACACTTCGCTTTTCTCCCCATCAAGGACTCAGCTTTCTGAAACCCCTCCCATTTCTAGGTGGTAAAATGTGAGTCTTATCTGGAAAACAGAGGGAAATAGGCCACAGTCATGGTCCCCAAAAGGAATGGAGACAATGGGAATTGAGGAGCAGAGGGGGACTAGGGTCCAGCCTTTAAGGTCCTACATTCACAGCACTAACTGGCCCAGCAAGCCCCTCTGAAACCAAATCCAAGCCACAGGGGTGGCAAGTATCCTTGATGCCTGGGTGTCCCCAACTTTCCAAATCCCCACCCCCGCAATGGAGAAGAAACCGAGACAGAAGGTGTAGGGCCCACTACCGCTTCCTCCAGATGAGCTCATGGGTTTCTCCACCAAGGAAGTTTTCCGCCGGTTGAACTGAGAGCCTTTCCCCGCCCTCCTCGCCCCAGGCTATAAAGGCAGCTGTCTGCACAGCCAGCCAGCAGAAGCTCCCTCGGCGAGGACACCAGGGGACCAGCCAGGAGAGACAGAAGCAACTCCAGACCCCCTGGAAGTAATCTCTCAGGCGACACAGCCCCCAGAGAAGCAGCCAGGTGACTCTCCCTCCGACACCATCGCACAGCTGGTCCTGAGCCTCTCTGGAAAGGACACCATGAGCACTGAAAGCATGATCCGGGACGTGGAGCTGGCTGAGGAGGCGCTCCCCAAGAAGGCAGGGGGCCCCCAGGGCTCCAGGCGGTGCCTGTGCCTCAGCCTCTTCTCCTTCCTCCTCGTGGCAGGAGCCACCGCGCTCTTCTGCCTGCTGCACTTCGGGGTGATCGGCCCCCAGAGGGAAGAGGTGAGTGCCTCGCCAGCCCGGCCCCTCCTCCCACGCAGAGAGAAATGGGGGCGAAAGAGGGCGAGAGATGGGGAAGGAACCCTGGAGAAAGACGGGAGGCAGAAAGAGAAGTGGAGGGAGGTCAGGGAAGAGAGAAGGGGAGAGGGAGAGGGTGTCTGCCACCTGGAAGGCGCTCGCTGGGCATCTGCTGGAGGAATGAGCAAGCAGATGAACATGAGAGATGTGTAGAGAGGGGGCACGGACGGAGAGATGCGGAGAAAGGAGTGGTCTGAAGAAAGGCGGTAAAATAGAGAGAGATGGGAGCTATGAAGGAGGTGAGGGAAGAAGAGGCGAGGAAGGGCGAAAACGGTGTTGGCACGTGGAGGGCACTCGGCAGAAGACTGCTGGGGAGAGGATGGGTGAATGAATGGACGGTGGCGAGGGGAAACCACACGTCGGGGGGCGCGAAGGGGCGGCCAGGGGCCTGGGGGCTCGCCCTGGTGCTAACCCCCCTCCTCCTTCCAGCAGCTCCAGATTCACCTCCCCCTGGCCCGGACCCTCGGTGAGTGTCGCCGAAGCCTCTCTCCTGCTTCTGGGTTTGAGTAGACTCGGGGTTAATCCTGGGATGGTAGCAGCAGGGGGAAATTGAGGCTTGGGGGTTGGGGGGCTGAGGAATGGAGGTCAAAGTAAGAGGATATTTTGGGGAAACCTTAGGGTCTCACCTCTTTCTTTCCTCTTTCCTCCTCAGGATTATCTTCTCGAACCCCAAGCGACAAGCCCGTCGCCCATGTTGTCGGTAAGAGTTCTGAGGATGTGTCTGGGGGATGAAGAAGCACATGGGCTGAGGAGGGATAGGATTTGGGGGCTCAGCCCAGGCTGAGGGTGGACAGCGCTTGGAGACAGTTGAGAACTCGCTGAATTCAAGGTGGGGGGACACCGCAGGCCTTGCGGGCTGTGCTCAGGAACCCGCGGCTGATGGGATATGGGAAGACAGGCAGAGGAGGCGGGAGCAGGAGGCGGGAGGGTGGGCAGGCCTGGAGGGCCAGGGTGT